GTGATAAAGAGACTCTAGTGCAGTCAGAAAACAGACCATTTATTAAAGTTTATTTGAACAAATTGAACACTTTATTGGCGTCTCCCAACGGTTATTGTATTTTAAGATTACTCCGACGTTTCTATATTTATAATTAATATAAGTGAATGGTAAGTATGTTATTAACAATCCTCCGAGAAGAATTTTAGACATCTGATAAATGCTTGAAGAAATTTCTAATCCTATCATTTTTTTTTTAATAACAATATATTTTTACTTGGATACCGCAAATGTAGAGATGACTTGGAACAATGTAAGTGATTTGGGATAGCATGTACTTTTGTTAAATTCAATCATGAGATACCACAATTAAATTCAACAAAAATACATGCTGTCCCAAGTTACCTGCACTGTCCCAAGTCATCTATATTTATAGTATTTTTTAAGATTAATATATTTTTCTTTATAATTTTATAAAAATATGCCACATGTGAATGCTATTATTGATTTACATTTGAGTGAAATAATTTATATTTCCTTTTATTAAGATATAAACAAACTTGTGATCATTTTGTATTTGATTATTATTGATACAAAAAAGAAAATGTTAACAATTGGATATGTTTGTTAATGATTTTTTTTTATTCATTTTTTTATGTATTCATAATAAATATTTTTATAAATGATAAGAAATACAGCAATTTATATATGTCTTGTATAACATTTTTTCTAGTGATATTGTATAGTAAACATAACGTTCTATATCAATTCCATTGTCATTTCTCATTGAGTATTGTCTATAATGGATTATATAAATAAATTTTCATCAACATCCGTGCCTGTTGAATTTAATGAATATGTTGAAAATACGATGCGTAAGATGCAGGAGCATGCCAGAAAGTATCCAGACAGAAAGTACGTATAAACGCAATTGTACTGAACATTAAATCTATATTTTTTAATTGAACTTTTTGCACCATTTGTCTTTTTTCTTTTTTCTTCATTTGAAGAAAAAAAAAGAAAAGAAAAATTATATAATACAAAAAGTTTAACTGAAAAAATAAATGTATTGCAATTATACAGTCATACAGTTTTTAATAAGTAATCATATAGGATTTTTAAATATTAAATATTTTCACATTAAATTAATTATTAAATTAATAATATTAGTCAATTATGTTGTCATTTTAAATTTGTTCATGAATTTCCATAAATTAGAATTTATTAACATTAAATAGACCCTATAAATGGAGCCTAGAAGATTTTGAAATTGGATCGCCATTAGGGAGAGGAAAGTTTGGCCGTGTATATTTAGCCAGGGAGAAGACTACTCAATATATGGTTGCTCTGAAGACATTATATAAAGTTGAATTGATGAAAGGACGCGTGGAAAAACAAGTAATGCGTGAAATTGAAATACAATCACATTTAAGGTATACATGTATACCATGTATTGAAAAATGTTAAAATATTTTCTTCATAATTATTATCTTGTTCATACATGTTTCCAGCCATCCAAATATTCTTCAACTGTTAACATATTTTCATGATAACAAGAGAATTTATCTAGTATTGGAATTCGCCGCTAGAGGCGAATTGTACAAGGAATTGAAACGTCAACCGAACGAGAGATTCAATGAACACTTGTATGTATTTGTAATCCTAACATACCCATTGTTATGTATAATTTAAAAATTATTCAGTATTTCATCAGATCTGCCAAATATACCTATCAAGTAGCCGACGCTTTGGAGTATTGTCATCGTTGCAATGTGATTCACAGAGACATAAAACCTGAGAATTTATTACTTACATATAACGGAGATATAAAACTCGCAGATTTTGGTTGGTCTGTACACGCTCCATCCGCAAAGTAAGCACAAAGCCCATGTTTTTATTTTTTAAAATGGCACAATGCTTATAATTTCGAAGAAAGTATTTATTTCACAAGTTTAATTTTACTGCAAATCGTTTAAAGCGAAATCGAAATTAATTCTTTCAGACGAGAAACATTATGCGGAACATTAGATTATTTGCCACCAGAAATGGTAATGGGACAGAGTTATGATTTCTATGTTGATCATTGGTGCTTAGGAATTCTTTGTTATGAATTTCTCACGGGGCAGCCGCCTTTTTTAAGTGGCACCACACAAGAAACGTATGCGAAAATAAAAACTATAACTATACAGTGGCCAGAACAGATTAAACCTGCAGCCAAAGATCTTATATCCAAGGTATCATTTGTGCTTTATATATCTCTGTATCAGAATACATATGATAAAGATTTTATATTTATAAAAATGTATTTTCGCAGCTGATCAAGAAAAAAAGTTTGGAGCGAATTTCCTTGGCTGAGGTTAAAAGACATCCCTGGATTGTACAACACTACAATCCTTTATCTAACTTAAAAAGGAAAGATTAAACTAAAAAGGGATAGTTTTTTATCAACTTCACAACATATATTTCATATTCGACACTTTTATTGTAATCTTTCTTTTTAAGTTTTTTTTATATAATAATATTTAGATTCGCGTTACGGCCACTTTAAATTGATACCCGTTACATCCAATGCGACAATGTCCACTTCGTTATTAAGAAAATCGCACAAACTCGGCTTGGTTCTGCCGAAATCTCCATGTACGAATTCTTTTACGTATGTACCTGCTTGCGTTTCGACATCGAGAACAAAAAACGTGTCAGTACTTTCTGCGGCAGTGGACAACAATTCCTTTAGCTCGTGCGATTTCGCCCAACGCGCGCGCATTTTGTAAATTATACGCGTTCGCGGACTCAATGGTCGCCTGTGTAGCACTCTCAGTGGTGTTCTTTGAATAATTTTAACGTTTTCCAATTCATTCAAATGCTCCAATGGCGGTAAACCACCACTCACGTCTCGACAGACACATAGTGCTCGATAAAACTTTGTTTTAACATTCTCACCTTCCTTAAGCTTTTTCAAATCAAATCTGGAAGTATATATTCGATACGAATTTTCTTATTTAATTGAATTTCTTTTTTTAATCTAATTTTAAATTACTTTGTTTATCAATGCAATTGTTCTTATTATTTAATTTTATGTATTACACTATTTTTTAATCTCATTTTAATTAAATTTTGAAAAAGTATACCTTGAAAGAACCTTTAAATTCGATGTTATTTGAACCTGTTTAGTGGATTGATTGATACTACTGGTCAGACACATCAATAGTTCGTTCGTGATATTCGTCATACGAGGATTCAATAGCTCAATAGCAAATGGTCGGCCACCATATATGTTTCTGACATCGACATCTTCTCTTCCTGATGATAAAAATTTTATCGCTGTGCAAACGTAAATATGTCATAGCGTTTTTGTTAAAAAAAAAATTATAACAAAATCAATATAGTCAAAACATACATTCTGCTTTTACCATTTCTGCGATGGGATTGCAGAGTAAGTCTTGCACCGAAGTTTCCACTTTTTTCTCACCGTTTACAAGCCACGGAGTCTGGCTGAGTTTTCTAGAGAGTTTATTGTAACGTCCTGAAATTTTAAAGTTTTTTAAAGAAATCTCATGCTGCATCATAAATAATTAGTTTGCTATCATTTAAGTTCATATCGATACCTCCTATGAAGATGCTGCTATGAGAACATAAAACATCGTCAACATAAACAAATGTTTTCGGTATGATTTGCGAGATCGTGAAATGTCGCATGAATTGCTCATCTGTCATTTGGATCAGTAAAGTATCAACATTCTTCCTACTAAATTTATTATCGTTGCATTTTCTCTTTTTCTGTCTCTTATTATTGCCTCCTTTATGTTCGTTTATTCTACAAGTAGAAGTTCTCAAAATGCATGAAAAGCAATTTTCTTTAATCTAAAGAACATCTATATAATCTATATTATTAATACACATTCGCATACACATATACACAGTTTCATTTCTAATTACATGAATTCTTAAAAATATATATAACGTACAATTCTTTAAATATCATTTCGTCGTCGGCATACATTAAGAGGACTTCGATGAGAAAGGGCGATGGTGTCAACAGATCTGCATGTTTTCCTGTAGCTTGTTCGAGTTGAGGAATTATAAACGATTTCCAAATATCTTTGACATTGTGTAATTTTGTTTTAAAAGTACTTAAGATTGATTTATGAATATCCATCTCTTTGGACATGTAAGCATATAATATATGTTCTCTCAGCTTTACTGATACAGGAACAGTTAATGCACATGTGAAAGTTATACAGTCATAATCTTTTTCCTTTACTTTTTCTGCTATCTAATAATTGAGATTAATTAAACATCAGTAAAATTAAATAGAATGTATATAGAGTTTTGTATGTGTGTGGATACTTTACTTTTGTAATTACGTTCTTTTGTGCCTTATCCTGAAGAACTCCTAAACATGCAATGCAAGTTGTTTCTTCCATAGAAGCATCGTCTTTTATATCTGTATAACTCAGCTATAATTGATATTAAAATATAAGTGTCAAATCAAGTTTATGAACAAAATTATTGGATCATCTAAAAAGTATCCGCGGTTTTTTTCAACACTAGATGTGTTGATGGTCATATATCTAGTGACAAAGTATCGCGGATACTTTTTAGATGACCCAATATTTGTTCATAATTTATTTTAAAACACACTATTTCGTTAATATCCGAAGTTGCTTATTCCTTTTTACGTGAATTAATATTGTACACATTTATTGCAAATTTAATACAGATTTTTATTCAGATTTATTGAAATATGAAGAATAATATCGATATAATAAATTTAAACAAATCATCTTATTAAAAATGATATTCGAGATTACTCATTTCTTTTAACATTTCTTACCTGTGCCGCAAATTCGGAAGGCTTGCAATAACATTCCGACGTGCGGTATCCGATGAAACGAAAACAACATCTCAAACAGCAACCTTGAGATTTTAAAAAGTGAAAGATCTTTCTCTCTTCCTCTGTCGTCATCGTATTCATTTTGATATTAAAATTTATGAAAATTTTCAATATAGTGATTTCCGATACCTAAAACAATATCAAATATTCACCGGATAATAGTCTTGATTTTACACATTTCACTGTAGATTATTAGTTGTTTTCCATTCACATTGATTCTCAGATAATTTTCACTTGTGACATAACACAGTTGAATGTACGTTCCTTTTCTGACAAGTGAGATTCGACCTATGAGTGAGTTTTGACCTATAAGCTGTACAAGATCGAGACCGTGTGCTTTAGTGAATCTCGTAAACTCACTTTAAAGTGAGGTTATAAATCTATGTTGACATGTGATAATTTTTTACTAAAGTAAGCAAGTAGTGACGTTATTTAATCTGTGAGTACAAAATACTCAGCTCACTCTGCTCACTTTAGAGTTTAGACTCAATTTCGCTTGTGTGTTAATGAAAAGCTATTATTGTCTCTGCTCATGTTTATTTATTTATTTGTGGTAATTACATTAAATAAACGAAAATATGTAATAAAACAAGATATTCACGCACTTTATAAATTACTTTATAAAGCACTGAAAATGTCTGAAAATTGAATATATAACTATTTCTGGGACCGTATAACCTCTCGTAACCTCCAAATATTACTTTATATTTACAAATATTACTTTGTGTTTATTCAAATTTAAGGAGCATTTACGCAGGTCATAACTGTGAATTTATGGCGTAATCAGTAAGTTCAGTAAGTACAATGATTTATACAATTTTTGTGCTGCCATAAAAGTTAAATTTGAGTTTACTATTGTGGTACAAGCTACATACATCCGGCAATCATTACAAATGAAAGCATTAAAAGTATTATGTTGAAATTTATTAATTATGGTATAAGTTTACATTTGCCTCGTGTTATGCTCCTTTAACCTTAAAAAGCTGTTCATTCGAATTAAATAATTTCAAAAAGTACTGCAAAAAATCGTTTTAATTAATTCAAAGTATCAAAGTATAAAGACACTACTGTCCCATCAACAAAAACTAAAGGTCGATCTCACAAACTCCGATTAACTTAATTGGTCGATTGTTACATTGGAACTGATCAGTTGCATTTGCTGTTCAGCAGAATTGACCAATCATGGTTGACACTTCATTGACCGATTAGCTTATTGAAATTGATGAAACCGGCTTTAAGAATAATTAAGAAATGGTTAATATAATCACTTATATTAAGATTTAAAAAATATAAGAAAAAATTACTCAATTAGTTTTTAATAAACGCGATTTTTGGTATTCTTGTACTAAATGTTGTTATAATATTATATATTATGTTATTTGTAATGTTATAAAAATATTTTCCTAATTAATAAATGATAAGTTTTTAATGTAATAGTAAAATGCATGTAATAATAAAATGCATTGTTTAAAATGTAAATGCAATACATCTTCAATTTATAGCCATTCATGCATATTAAAAAAATATCATTTTCAAGTTACTTAACAACTAAACTTTTGGACAGTCGACTTGAATTACTTTTTTTCTTGTAGTTTGGAATATCAATTTTAAGATATTGAATCATATTTTTCCTTTAAACATTTTTGTTTCAGAGTTTTACATTTTTATATGGAACAGCGCATTTTTCTTATTTCGTTAACTATATTTAGTTACAACAATTTATCTACAACTTGTTATGGATATATAACTGCACAAATATTTTCTAAAGATGTCAAAATATGTAAAAATTGTTTAATTATAATTTATATATACTTGTAAAAATGAAAATTAAGCTAGTGCACGAATGATCGAAAGTGTATAAAATTAAAATGATCTTTTCTCAAAGATATTAACAGAAACTTATGCACACATCTTTTTATTTATATATTTTTTTATTTTATCTTTTTATTTATATTCTATACATATAGATTGTTAGGATTTATCTTACTAATTCCTTTTTTCTTAACAATTATCTTTTGATTTTTGGAAGAAATTATAAAATTTCTTAGCGCCTACTGACAAGTGTTCAAATTATTTCATAATCCAACATATTTACGATTTTCGTACGTAATTCTATTGGCAGACTCTCCAAACTAGGACCCATGAAATTTACTACTAACAATATGTCTGTACGCAAAGGTATGACTAATTTGTCTTTAAACCTGAAAAAAATCATTTTGTAAGCAATACTTTATATATTTATTAAATAGGCATAAAAATGATACAGGTGTAAACCATACAATAGACATATAGGCATAAATAGAATAGTTTAGCAGACCAGTTGCCTGTCAAAAGATTCAAATTTGAGTTCTGGTTCTATTCATTGTATACATATATAAGAAATTTTTAATGGCAGAAAAAATTCCATTGAAAAAGAAGGAATGAGTACATTCCAAATGCACTGCTAAAATTAGTTAACTTGAGATAATAATTGATATTTAGTGAATTAAATATGCACAAAATGGAAGATTTTTAGAATATATCGTAAAAAACTTAAATTTTTTTAAGTTTTATATATTATATTTTTTTTGCATATTCAATTTCTCAAATACTGACATACATACACAAAGCAAAAACAAGATGATACATTCTAATATTGCATATTAATTGAAATATAGAAATTCAAATAATAAGAATACATATAGTACAATAAACAAAATCATATCATTACCTATGTGATATTTCTTTGAGATTCATATATCGAAGACACAAATTATTTGTGTATGGATTTACATACTTTAATGTTTGTATAACCATGCTATAAATCTTCATATCTCGTATATGCGACAATATATTAAGTACCAATTTATCGCCACAAGTTATGACAATTAATTTTGATCTAATGTGGTCTACATTACGCAATGTCAAATAGATTTCATACACTCCTGTTTCTTGAGACTTCCAATTTTTAGGTATATAAACTAATCTTGTATTTTGCTCCCTGTAAATAACATACAGATTAATAAATAATCAAAAGCAATAATATAATATATACATATACCTATATATATATATATATATTGTAAATGTATATTACCATTTTGGAGTATCAGAAGCGGACGAAACGCCAAATCCGGACTCTGCCAACAGAACAAGCAGCAAGGCAACAAGATAATCGTGATGTTTAGCATTTTCATCCAATTGTTCTAATACTGCCCTCAGCGATAACGCTATTGTAGAAAACGTACTGTCCTCTGCCAATATCGGCTCGGTTATATCGACTGTTCTGTTCAAGGAGCGCAATTGCTCCATTTTACTATGTAATGACAATAAACTATTGACTCGCGCTTTTTCTCTTTTTTACCATCTGCTTTCTTAACAAAATCACTCCGATTAAAATGTAATGTGCATTGTTTACTTGCTATATGTTGAGTTGCGCATGGTGGAAGAAATACTTCCAGACTTCTACCATGAAATATATGTCAGCTGAGCTATTTTATTTGCCATATGTACATATATATATGCATAGGATAAATTTTTCAAGAATGACGATTGGTTACTCCAGTTCTATATTGCTTGAGGAGCCATTTCATTGGCTGGAACCTTAAATTCATTTAAAATTAGTTTTTTTTTAAATGATGTGTGATATTAATTAAAATTATTCTTTTATACATATTTATATATGTATATATAATTTTAAATATAAGATATAAATCTCTTTAAGTTTGTTTTCTTTTTATAAAAATTAGAGAGAGAAGACAAACTTACTAAAGCGTATTTCCAATTTTACGTTTTTCCAACCTTTTTCTTCATTATTCTTTTTTCATTATTGCCACGATGTCACATGTTGAACGAAAAGTGCGACATGGTGCAGCTAAAATGAACACAGCCATCATGTCCCGATACTTTCAGCAGGTAAAGCAAGTTAAGTAAAGGAAGTAAAGGACGGACCGTTAGAAGGGGAAGGAAAAAGGAAGATCATTTGGAGCAAGTTAGGTAGCACCCGCGTCGTAATGCCGTCCGAGCGAACACCAACGTAGCGACGAATAATTATATGATGTACCAGGACGCGTGCGAAGGACGAAACGTCATATGAAACAGTGTCTTTAACCTAATTTCATCCGTACTTGTTTTCCAAAAGAATCTCAGGTGAGTTTGCCTCAGCAGGCGACAAAATTTAACATATCGCAGTACCGATCCCTGTCGAGAATAACCGCTATCTTGCTTGAAGCGGATTCACTCTCGTCGTCCTCGCGTCATATAATTTCATTTTTCTTGATACTCTTGATCGTTCGATTTAAAGAATAGGGAGTTTTTGCAATAACATGGATCCAGTCACGTTATCCTTTTCTTAATTAGTTATTAGAAAGAAGATATGACTTTAGCGTATCTGAATAAACGGTATTGTAAAAACTCCCTAATAAGTTGCATGTGGAAACGGACTGCGCAATGCGTACATGATGAAATTTAAGATACCGTTAAGTACGATAAGTACTCTCATTAAGTACTCTCTCCGGGACATCGTTATATTGAAAAGTTTGTATCAATATTTATTTTTCTTTTTTTTCTTCTTATTTTGTATCAGAGGCAAAATCTAAAAATTACTTTTGCTAAAGTATATCTATTATTAAGATATGATATATTATTAAGATGTTTTTGTTCAATGCATCTAACTTTTAAATCTAGCGTTTCTTCTTATAAATTCTTTGAGGTTTTGTTACTTCAGCATTTAAGTAAGCTGTCGTGTTATTTTTTTGTTTGTAGTAATACTCTGTACATGAAACATGATGTCTAATGGTATTCAGAATCCGACTGAGCAAATTCAAGATATCTCAATGGGGAATAATGTACATCATTCATCCTTGGTATCATCGCCATCGTCGGCCTTGAATTCTCCCCTCATGAAGCTATCTTCGTATTTCCTGGCAGCACGACCATGGTCGCTGAGTGCGTCATTGATGCCGACACTTCTCGGATCAGCACTTGCATATCGACTACCAGGCCTGGCGAGCTTCAATTGGATATCGTTATGCCTTACTGTGCTTATAGTGTTTTGCGTGCATGGTGCTGGTAATGTAGTGAACACTTATTTTGACTACGTGAAAGGCGTTGATAGTAGAAAAAGCGACGATAGAATACTGGTAGATGAGTTACTATCCAAAGACGAATTGGTCACATTGGGGGCATTCCTATACGCAGCAGGATGTTTAGGATTTGTCTTACTGGCAGTCATCTCTCCTGCAAAGATGGAGCATTTGGCTCTTGTGTATTTCGGAGGTTTGTCCTCTTCCTTTCTCTATACAGGAGGTATAGGATTGAAATATATCGCTCTGGGCGATGTACTTATCTTAATTATATTCGGTCCAATCTCAGTTCTATTTGCGTTTATGGCGCAAACTGGTTATGTTGAATTAGGAACAATTTATTATGCGATACCGCTTGCCTTGAATACCGAGGCTATTTTGCACAGTAACAATACGAGAGATATGGAAAGTGACGAGAAAGCAGGAATCGTAACGCTAGCTATTTTAATAGGTCATACCGCGTCTCACGTTTTGTATGCTTTTTTACTGTTTACACCATATATAATTCTTATAGTAGTGGCGTTTAGATATTCCCTCTGGTTTGTACTGCCAGTGATCACTTTGCCGACTGCCTTTAAAATAGAAAAGGACTTTCGCAATCCGCATAGAATTCAAAACGTGCCTAAACGGACAGCTGGATTAAATTCATTTCTAGGTATTTTATATGTTCTCGCTTGTTTACTCGTGGGCTCGCTTCCTTATCTGTAAATTATTCATGAGGCATCATCGTCCTGGATTACTCTTTCTATTCCGTTGATATTTTTTTTCAGCAAGAAAAAAAATTTCATCTAGACTTGTAATTAAAAGTATGACTGTTCAGAGTGAGGAAAAGTTTGAAACATGAATTGTTTTATTCATTTTGAGATATCAATTATTCATAGTTCAATATAACTTTCCGTCATCTCGGAACATAACTAAATATACATAATCCAAATATTGTTATTATCTGCAAGGGTAATCCAAGACTGAAATTTTTGAAGTTAGACTTTATCTATATATATATATATATATTTAAAAGTTCGAAATTTCTGAATTCTTACAAATGCAATCACCAAATTATATAGAACAGGTAAAAGAAATATATGACTCATTTATTGAAGATATTTATGTTACATTCGCCTCAAGTACAAATTAATTCTTATCAGTTTCAAAATGTTTATCACAAAATTAGATCTTTGTGATTTGATCTTATTTTATACTGCGTACATATTGTTACATCTTGTAATAAAATATCATTCTTGCGGATATTAGGATTGGAAAACATACGTATATATATTGTTTATGTCTTTCTCATTTTTATTTAAAAGTAAATTAAATCTTTTATATGAATCCCTCAGAATTAAACTTCTTGAAACACATCTTTTGTGTATTCATTTTAAAATAGGTATATCTTAAGAAATACAATACGCGGCGTTTGTGTATGCATTCTGTAACACGAAGGAGGTATATGCTCATATTGTGTTTTATTATGAAAATATTGGTTTATGTTAACATATTATTTATATATTGTATAATTAACGTGCATAATAATTTTAACAGAGCGATATCTCATTCAGGAACAATGTCATATACGCGTATGTGTATTTTACATTACATAATATGTTATATTTTTAATAACATATTATGTTCAATTTAATCATTTATTTTTATTTTTACTTAATAAATTAAATTTTTTTCTTCTTCCAATGGTTCGAATATTTATGCATCATGACATAGTATAATCTTCTCGCATAATCTTTAGATATATCATAAAATAATTATGACAATGTTTTGTTTGAAATACTGTAAGAGACTCTTATAGTTGTCATATTTATCTCATAAATAGAGATTCGAATTAGGAATAAATCAAAAGCATAGCTGAACCAAATAAAAATAAAAATATATAACTCGCTACGCGTCGATCTATTCCGATTAAATCATCGATTAATGATGAAATATAAAGGAATTGTAAATGTATGTGTTCTGAGTAACAAAATGAAAAATCTTGGTAATCAAGAGTCATCATAACATTAATTTATATATTTGAGGTTTTATATAATTATACATTTGAAAATTGTTGTATAACATTTTTTTACAAGAAAACAAAATACGTCAATTTTTGTATTATATTCTGTATATGTTACAAAACCTTGTATTATAACATCATTTGATCTCAGTTCATCTATTTTATTAACAATTTATAAAGTAAAATATGTATCCTATATTTTAAATATATCTCTCTTCGAAGGCGCTTACATATCTGGATTCATCACGTACATAATAAAATTATATGGTAGAAGGAGGCGGGAACAGAATAAGTAATACAAGTTAAAGAGAGATATATGAATATGAGAAAAGAAAATTTGTGTGACTAATTTAATAAATGAATTTAATATGTATTCATTGCACTGATTCTTTTAGAACATTCATCATTTCTGAAGAAATTTTTCTTTCTTATCTTCTCTATGAGAATTTGACTGTGTTGTGAATGTACAATACTCAAGTGACAATACTTTTAAGACCATGGAAAGCGTTTTGTTAAAAATATATATTTTCCGAATCATATAATTCTGCGAATTATATATTGTGTGTATATATATATATATATACATAAAACATATATAAAACATATAAAAAGAAGAGCATAAAAAACCACAGCACAAGTTATAGTTTGTGATATTTAATTATTATTACATTAATTAAAACATTAAACGTTTCGGCCACAATCTGGCCATCTTCAGTAATTCAGTAATATTCTTAAAATGCAAAGTTACATCTAGTTGACATTAAATTCAACAGTCGGGTGTTATAATCAAATAAACGTGTTCTTTTCTATGTGAAGATGCTTCATACGAAATGTTACAACGCCAATTGTCATATCACGAAAAATGTAGAACAAGAATTTCCAGATTCTAATTTAAAATAAATTTGTATATCATTAATATCTTCTAGTCGGAATATAAAGAAATAGAATCGTTACCTGTTTTACTAAACGATGAATCTCAAGTTTGCACAATTAGAATTTTGTCGTGACATTATGTATTGTTATTTGTCATATCATGTATTTTATCACTATTTATATATATGAGTCAATAGTTTAGAAAGTTCTAGAATTATTTATTAAAAGAAAGAGAGATCCTTCTTAAGAAGAGGAAAATAAACATCAGACAAACCTTCCGTGTCACTTTGCTTATTGATACCTCTTGTTTGTCTTTTTATATGTATCATTTCCGAAATTCTTCTTTTCATTAATGATTGTTCTGTATCTAAAATTCTTATGTTATCCCAATCCAATTCATGCATCTCATTCAAACGGTGACGTGAAATTTCGGAAGAAGGTTTTTTTATATCAGCCTTATGTTCTTTCATCCGAGTTTTTAATTTCCTTTTAGTGTTTGGCCAACATAAGACGATTCACAGTTTAAACAATTGATTTTTATAGACTACTCCACAATGGTCATCCTTAGGCAAAGAATCCTTTCTTAGGCTTAAATTTACTGTTAACTTTGGCGATGAAAACGGCATAAATTTTCTAGATGTTAAATTAATGAGACAAAAAGGAAATATCATCTTTGATATTTATAAAAAACCTACCAATTCTGGGAGATATTTAAACTATTTTTCGAATCATCCGTTAGTACATAAAAGGGGAGTAATTATTGGGCAATTTGATAGAATTTTATTTTTATCCCATCCTAAATTTCATGAAAAAAACATCTCTGAATTAATTCACACGCTTTTAAGTAATGGTTATCCTTTAAAATTCATATTTTCAACAATAAAAAAATAGAATAAAAATATTGGAAAATAGAACTAATTTAGATTAAAATCGCGAAGAAATTAATAATGAATGTGATTCTACGAAAAAATTTTTAATAAGAAAAAATTTTTCACAATACTTGGGCAAAGTATCTGAAAAATTCAAAAAATTTTCACATGTTCATGGGTTTAATATAGCTTATAAACCTATGAATAAAATGAATACTTTTATAAACGAGAAAGGATTCTTTGCCTAAGGATGATCATTGTGGAGTAGTCTATAAAATCAATTGTTTAAACTGTGAATCGTCTTATGTTGGCCAAACTAAAAGGAAATTAAAAACTCGGATAAAAGAACATAAGGCTGACATAAAAAAAACATTCTTCCGAAATTTCAGTGGTTTCACGTCACCGTTTGAATGGGATGAATTGGATTGGGATAACATAAGAATTTTAGATACAGAAACAAATAACAACACATAATGTCACGACAAAATTCTATAATAATTGTGCAAAAAAAGTACTTGAGATTCATCGTTTAGTTTTTTGCTGTAAAACAGGTAACGATTCTATTTCTTTATATTCCGACTAGAAGATATTAATGATATACAAATTTATTTTAAATTAGAATCTGGAAATTCTTGTTCTACATTTTTCGTGATATGACAATTGGCGTTGTAACATTTCGTATGAAGCATCTTCACATAGAAAAGAACACGTTTATTTGATTATAACACCCGACTGTTGAATTTAATGTCAACTAGATGTAACTTTGCGTTTTAAGAATATTGCTGAATTACTGAAGATGGCCAGATTGTGGCCGAAACGTTTAATATTTTAATTAATGTAATAATAATTAAATATCACAAACTATAACTTGTGCTGTGGTTTTTTATGCTCTTCTTTTTATATGTTTTTAAAATTATAACCACGTTAGTTTTCAAGATGTATATATAAAACAATTATGTTATGAAAAATAAATTAATGACTAGCTCTATTTTTATGATTCTTATAACATATGAACAACTTAATAACATTTAAGTAAGATCGTAATAGCGATTTCACACATATTCCTTTCAGTTATGTATAAATATATTTCAAATGTTATACATGTAGAGATATATTTGACTGGAAAATATTGTTTCAAAAGTAAATCATCGCATGTCAATATATAGATATAATGCATGTTGTACATAACGTGTATAATATAAAATGACAAAAAATATTAAAAAATATGTCATACGGTTAAACAGGGAAAACTTATATGCCATCCTCTGCTGAGTCCATCTCAAGTAAAGCGTTCTTTAGCCTGTCTTCCAATAATGCGTTCTCTAATTGTTGCGCTTGCAAACGGTTCTCTACCTCTATAGACACAGAATGCACCTCCATAACACGAGTCTTAGTGCTCTCGCAAAACTCCGCTAGTAAACTAAATTCCTCATCTAATGCGCTGTCATCCAAATTGTTTTCGAATTTATCGAGTTTCTTTCGCTTTCTCATTGGTTCATTTAACATGATATTATTATCCGAGCTTGATTCGTGCAACATGAATTCTGTCAATACGTTGGATTTGAACCACCATGGTAATGTCTGGAAATGCTTGATGTGATTTCTGTTGTAAATGACCGTTTGATCTTCGTCCAGAAGACGTATCTTCTCTTTGATTATATATAGTAGTATGTGTACGAAATTTGATACTTGTAAACTGCCCGAGGTGAGAAATAAGTTGCTCAATATATCGCAAAAAATGATATTACAGTTCGAATCGGACAATACCTCCCTGCAATAATTCATAATATGTCGTCGTAAATCTTGTATGTCTGTTATTGGCCACGGTGCACTGAAATTAGAAAATAAACGACATAAATAACAAGATATTGATACACACACAGATATCGTGTATGCGTTATTGTATAGGTATAGATATATTAATATAATTAATAATTGATCTAGATCAATACTTACTTCCACGGCGGTAGCACAAAACTGTTCATCGTGGTTTCTAATTTTGCTCTGTATTCATCTCGTTTCCATGATTCGTTAAAATATTCATAACTGCATGGCATGGTGCCACTGTTTTTGAGGAATTTTTTCAACTCGGGCGCGAAATTTGTATATAACGTAGATTCTGGATCTAAGATTATGTCTATCAAGTGATTTACAGCCTCATTGTGCAAATCAATTACAAAGTTTGGATCTTTTAATGCGTCTGACAACTGTTTATTATACATAGAATCACCCAGTATCCTGAAAATTATAATAACAAACAGAATATAGTGTATTATGTACATATTAGAAAATATCTATATACACATAATTAGGTAAGTACAGAAAGTAGCTTACCTCAACCATAACTCTTCGGATAAACATATGTCGTATACATTAAACAGATAATCCATTTCCAGCGGATTCGATGGTGACTTGTTCATCGTCAACCATAAAACTGCGCTTTGCGTCAAATTTAAGATAATTTTTGCAGACAGATTCTCCTCGTACATGATTGTATATTCCGATACATAGCCAGATTCCAGGAAGGATTCCAAATCTGAGACGATATTATCATTCTGATTCTCCAAGTCTCCGTTACCTAAGACAATAAAGGCGAGCGGCATAGGCATTAGCTTGTGCCGCGACAATACGGTCCTCGTTAAACGTTTCGCTACAGATTTGTAATTCTCCGAGGCATCAGCGATGAATAGAAGTGCGTCGGCACCGATCAAGTGATGTTCGCTGATCAAACCCTCGAAATGCCTTATACAGACGTGCAAGGTTTCATAGGGATTTGGCCGGTAAATTTTCACGATAGGATCCATCGTAAAATTGTCAGGATTCAAGTATTCATTCATCACTTTCTTGTGATACCACAAGACCGCTTTGTTAGCCAAATCCGGCCAAGAGATGACGAGTTTCCAATATACGTTAGGCAAGGATTCGAGGTCCAACGATCGTATGTTCTCCTTGATGCCGGCATACACGATAATTTCGATAGGCGCAAGAGTCTCTGTCGCGCTGGCTGCTACATCCTCTGGTTCGCCTCGTCGTTTACACATATTCTGCATCACCACTTCCTGCTCTTTGGTATACAGCATCCGCGCGGTTTCCTCCACGGAATGCCTCTGCAACCAAACCGGCGTGTCTTCCAACGCCGCTCTTTGCCGCTTCTTTCTCAATACGTACTGTTTCCAAATATTTACGCATTTGACGATCACTCGATTCTTAATTCGCAGTAACATCGCCTGTAATTTTTTTTGCTGCTCAATTTCCGCGGTCAGTATTGTATCGCAAATCTCATGAGTAACTTCGCCGATCATGTCTGAAAGAATTCTCTTGCTCAATGTGTTATACATTTCTATCCTGTCGATATCCTGTTTCGCGATGGTGCAGCAAAACTCGTTCATGACTTCTGCGTGCAAGCTATTATAAATATCTTCCGATTGCTCCTCAATTCGTTGCATTCTCCTCGCATGTTCTCTAGCCTTCTCTAGCTTCGCTTTCTCAGCCTCCGATATCACTTCTTCCTGGATCTTCTGTTCCTTTTTATGGAAGACACTTTGTTCCTTCTTCGTCTTACTCGCAACATCTGCGAATACTGACTGTTGAACAGAAACCGGTATGGGAAAATGTTTATTAACGAATATCGTGGAGGAAGGACTAACGTTCCTGAATAAATTTCCCGAGTCTACCCCGGAGAAGATACTCTTATTTACAGCCATGGCAAACGGCGGGACTGGTTCTGCATTATGTGATGTTTCTGGTGTAGAGAACACGGAAGGATTGCCTACAAATAAATTATTACCGATAATATTGCTGCTACCAAGCATCGCTGGCTGTTGTTTATCATTAGTGTCTTCGCGACGTGTACTAGTCGCACTTCTGCTGTCAGAATATTTTTCAGAAGCTACTTTAATCGATGCACCAATTTGAGCTTTGTTCTCAATAAATACATTCGATTCTTTTGGCTTGTGTTCGAATACATCCGGTACACACGATGTTACCGTTTCAAAAACGTCTGAGTTGAGAACCGATTCGGGAACTGATGCGTGTTTAAACGCGCTCGCTTCGTTGTTCGCATTTGTTGGCTTTCGAGTTTGCACAGATCGAAAATCCTTTACGGCTCTCTGATCTTTATTCCGGATTGATGTCACCTTTGCTATCCTCTTTGTTTTGCTATCCTCCTTTTCTACGAATTCATATGGATCGTGCCGTTCCGCAGAGGAACTATCAGCAGTTTGGTCCGCGGCGTTGATCGATTCAGGCATTAAATAACCGTGCACGTCAAAACTATTATGTGGCTTATGATTCTTGTAAGTCTTCTCTGGCATTTTTTTACCAGCGATGCATTGCCCAATACTAAAATTTAAGGTGATTCTCTTGGATTCTATTAAATTGCAAGCCCTACCTTGCTGAATACTCGCTGTGGGCATATTAAAACTCTGACGATTCAGGAGAATGTACATCTCGTCGTTTGACAGATTCAATCCTGCTTGTTCGCAGAAATATATAGCCTCGTTCTCATCCTCAAAGCCAAGGATATCTATTAATTCATATAACGGAAAAGCAGTTGAAGTAGTTCTACAATATGCCTTCACCATTATCGAAAGAGCTCTTAATCTGATTTGATTGAAATATCTTAACAGGATGCAGGCGTTCAAGTAAGTCGTCTCTCGAACGAGTTTAAAAAATTTGTAGTAATTGTTCGAGTCCAACGAAAAGTATACTTTGATCGCAAATTGGACTTGCGGTGAATTTTGCACGGAGACTGGCAGCTGCTGCAAGTCGTACAGGAAATTACCGTTGTTCAAATTTAGCAGTACAATATACGCCCTGAATTCAGGCTCGTTTCCGCAGGTGATACCCTTTACTCTCAAATCGTGGTACATGTACTTCAAAGTTTGCAAACACTTGGTCAAGTTCTCCGAATTAATCTTCTTGTCGAAGACAGATGCATCCTCCGCACAGAGTCTTTCGGAGCATACTATGTGAAACCTAGCACATTGCTCGATCAATTCGACGCTTTCCTTGCAGCACAGTTCCTGCTGCGTAATATCTTTTCTAATACCTCTCGTCCTATCCCAAAGAAAGTGATACCACTCGGCTAGATTTGTACCTTCCTGCTCACAGAGATCCATCAACTCGTGAAGCAAGTAGCTCATGGTCATTTTCAAAGATTTCACCGGCCTTAACTCATGAGGCATTGGCTCCTCCTGATCCGCGGAAGATCTTGAATATTGCTTTATAGCAATCGCATGATTTATTCTGTACTCGTTACCTTCCAGCTGTTCGTACGACGCAACTTGCCTCTGAGACTCGCGCATCAGACGTTCCTTCTCAGGGCACATATCAGGGCAAGTGCCGCTGGTTACCGTCGCGAGCGAAGCTGGTTTGGCTCGCTTCAGTCTCATAAGACGGTCTCTAGCTTCCAACACTTTGTACTTATCTTCGGCCGTAAGAGCAACTTGATGTATTATATTTTGCAGTTCTTCTATGGATTTACTGGGCAAAGATTTAACTGTCTGACTCTCGGTGTCGTGCTTCTCGATTTTCATTGCAACTTTTTCCAATTTTCCCATAGCTTTCTCATGCGACAATGTTTTACCACTCAGTGCTTTACCTTTTATCGGAAACAACATGTTTACATCAGACACCTCGTTTCCTTTGATAGGATGCAAATTATATTCTATGTTCGCCATGGCTTCCAATTCTGATTTAATCTCATCGTCGGATGCTTTAAGTAGATTTGCCACTATATTGTGCTGCAATTCCTTCTTCTTAATCATTCTTTTCGCCGTTGATTCCAGCTTTGTCCATTCTATATCAAACTTTTCACCTTTATAATCACCACTGCCGTAATATGCAGCACTCGCCTCTATCTTGGTCGCGTAAATTACTGTGATTACATATTTTTTCGGACGAATAGTTATCTTTATGATTTTTCCGTACTTGATAAAGTATTCTTTTGCTGCTGTTTTAGTCAGCAAGGCTTTCGGCACGTTAGAGCATGTTATCGAGTTGTCAATGTTGACTTTAGTGATACGTGATCTGGAATTCTTTTTCAACTGTTCAAATGCTCCCGTGTCTTTAAGAGCATTAGCAAATACGTTGATCGTAGGCTTGTACGTGTTTCTAGAAATTCTTGGCTTATATTTGTTAGATTTATTTAGATTAGTCCACTGCTCTAATCCAAAGCGCTCACCTCGATCTTTATCATGTGAACTACCTATGCGACTCTGATTGCATTGTGACACTATTGTTGGTAAAGCGAATGTAAATATATTCTTTTTACTGACTTGAGTGTCAAACACATGATCTGAACCTACACCGAAATTAATAACTCTTGAAAGATCAAATATATTCGGTTTCGAGAATACGAAAGAATTCGACGCTGCATCTGTTTCCGAAGTATCCATCTCCATTTTATCCATTTGGCTTGACATTTCGCTTGGAATTTATCTTACTCCTGTAAATTATATAATGTAAATGCTGTGACGACAACAACACTGTGACGAATACGATACTGCGTATCGCAACGATATAAAAGGTAAATGTGGTTTAACATTTGTCTGGTTTAACTTCCGAATCGGAATATTGAAAATCATATCTCAATTAGTAGTAATTAACAATCGTGAATCTACCAACCTGTTTCTGGGAAACAGCACTGAATAAAACAATTATTGAATTGTCACCGTCAGCTGCAGCAATGTTTACGCGCGCATTTAAAACACTAACCTATTTTACAAAATACGCTGGACTGCGTTCAGGAATTACGCCCAGATAACTTTAAGGCCCTGCGCACAATCGGCACAATAGAAGGAATAAGGAATTAGAAATGAAAAATAAACGATTTTAAGGGGCTCCGCCAATAAGAGGAACAGGGAATAAAGAATAGAGAATAAGAATTTCAACCTATCAGAAATCATGGAATATACAGTATTTCTATTACGTATATTATAGCAAAGATACACACTAGAGTGCATGCAAACTTCCAAAGAGACATTTATAAGTCTGAGGGTCGATTCTCTATTTTCAAACAAGATGAAAATTACAGAAGTAAGCAAATTTACTAAGTGTCGACCAATAAAATTATCAGTATTCTAGTAAATTCGCTCACTTTCGTAATTTTCACTTCGTTTCAAGATACAGAATCGATTCTCTGTTCGCGTTGCGTGCACTTTTTATATTTAGAATATTCGATTTTTCTCTCTCTTAAATGTTCGAATACATACATATTTATTTTGTTTTAAAAATTTGGGGTATTTTAAGTAACGTGAATATACAATATAACACTTTCTGAATTGGTACACACAATGAAATAAGACAAAGTGAAACAAATGAATATTTGTTTCATTTCAACTTATTGCACTGGTTTAAAGTGCAGCAATAAAAAACAGACCTATAACCCTCATGTCTTTTTTCGATTACTTTTGGAACACGACTGATTTCCAACAGGAGAATTTCTCTTTAGGGAGAAAAAATATAGTAAGTTTTTCTGCGTTCAGGTGATCATAAACAATATGGCGTATTTTAAGAGCGCAATCCAACAATCAAATCTTAAATCGAGCAGTAATTCGTTCTAGAAACAAATATTATTCTATCTTTCTAATAAGTAACAAAAATAGAACAATATTCTTTGTGTCACCAAATAGAAAGTATCCTCAATTATTATTGTGTTATTAAAAATATTAAGTATTTCAATTAAGTTATAACTTGTTCCAAATTATTGGAATATAAGGATCGAGAAGAGCATAAAAAAATTATACAGATGTGTTGGGTCAATTTTTGTGAAAAAGACATGAATATTCAACTTTGAAAATTTATAACAAATTTATAGGAAATTAAAATCATTGAATGCCAAAAAATTAGTTTTTCGCATATAAATTAATTGTATTAATTATAATTACTATATGCATACTTTTAGCAATCGATCGTCGATTATCACGTAACCTCTATTATCTCGCTGTGTGATAAGACAACAAGATGGCGGTCGAATCAAAATTCGCGCTTCTCTCGGCTTTCTCAGCGGATAATGTGGAATAATGGTGACAAATCAGGGAGTAGGGTATGGCAACGGCAACGATAAGAGAACGAGGAAAAAACTCGTGCGTAATATATCGTGGCGATGTAGTGTGAAATAATATATGGGCGTATATATGTGCGCGAATCGACAGAATCAACGGGGGCGATAATATAAATGATAAAAAAACGGAACGGAGCTGAGTAGGGCGCCGTTGGACGCCGTGTCCGGTCGTATTGTCGCAATACCAGCCATCGGCCATCACCAATCGGCAGAACATCGTAGAATCCGGTTCCGTTCTCCACTTCTCCCCCTCGAGTTTGAATTCCGTAACGGTCGCAGCCTGCGGCGACTGGCGACAGGCGACAGGCGACTCGGCGACTCGGCGAATCGGCGAATACGAACTGATACGAGCTGATACGAGCTGACGAACGTCCCACCCTGTTTCTGTGACGGAGGTTGTCGCCTGTCGAAGGCATCGTGGCGTGGGTGTACATAGTTGTACATAGCAAAGCGTAGAGCGTAGAGCGTAGAGCGTACGCCGTGTCGCCGGGAAGGCGGCGCGACGCGACGCGATACGCTCGCCTGACGTAATGCACCTCGGATTTTTGCGCGCGTAGGCAGAGACCAAGAGATCGCCGCCAACCGAACGATTAATCCGAAGACTTCGCCTAGTTACCCGCCCACTCCCGCGTGTTTACTGCGCGCCGCTAATTGAACGCTACTCCAATTTGCATTAACGTCGCGCTGATGACAGATCCACCTGATCGGTATCTGCTACTGCGCCGTACACCCGCTGCTGGATCACGATGGAGGACGCGAACGAGGTTTTGGCGTGCGCGGCTGAATTCATAAAAGGTAATCCGTTCTGGATTAAAATCTATTTTTGATGACCGCACGAGAAAGTATGCTGGCCGCAAGTGACTTGTTCCCGGTTGTAAATACGGTCTGTGGATTAAGTAACGTCAGAGCTATCGTTTAACGGTTTTGCTTCGTTACAATGAAACATCTGCGAGATCTTCGACAAAAAAAACCCTCTTTTTAATTTTAATAAACGATACGCAAATTTATTTCATATCGATGCATTTATATTAAATTAAATTACATTTTTTCTTAAAACCGTAATTGTATATTATACTTTTAAGATATTTAATATATCTTCTTGGTATATTTTTTCAGAAATAGCATTCGTTATCATCAGTCTTGCAAACAAAATTACAATTTACAATTTACTGAAAATTTTACATTATTTTATGTATAAAGTTGTTTAAACGTCCACAATAAAGTTTTTCTTTTACTTGATGTATAAAATGAAGAATAAATTGTTTCTTCTTTCAGATCGATTGTATTTTATAACATTAAGAACAGCAATGAAACCAAAAAGTAATCCAAACACTCACTACTTCAGTATTGACAACGAGTTGGTATATGAAAATTTTTACTCCGACTTTGGTCCCCTAAATCTGGCCGTGCTATACAGATACTGCCAAAAAGTTAATAAGAAATTAAAGGGCATTGCACTCAGCAAAAAAAAACTCGTGCATTATACGACGATGGAGGATTCGGAGAAAAGAGTTAATGCTGCATTTCTTATAGGAAGTTACGCGGTAATACAGATTTTTTTTCTCTTATGATTTTTTTGTTAGTGAACATATATTTGGAATGACAAAAGAATAGCTACAAAGTTTTGTGTCTTATCAAATTATTAGGCAAGTTAATATTATCTGTTTTTCAATGAAATGTGACTTATATACACATGATTTATGAACATTGACACATCATTGCATACTATATATCATTAACTGCACATATGCAATACGCATAAATTTTTGTAAAATATTTTTATATTGAATTAAATGTTTAAATCTAAGTTTAAATCTAAGAATTCGACATTATTTCTTTGTACAACCCATTAGTCTAAAGACTCCAATTTTATTGGTACAAATTGCACAGTTTGTTTATATTGAGCAAATATTTGACAGTTCTAAATGCCATAAGAGAAACTAAGAAATGATAAAAAAATATTTCAATTTAAATTTTTTGTTCTGAACATAATCCCTCACGAAATTTATTGCGTTTTATTGGTAAAATAGATGTGACGCTAGGGTATACTTTTAAATTCTAAAGGAACTCTGAAAAATTTTTATTGGTTGATAAACTAAAAACTACTTTATTGATTTCCTGGTAGAATTTATTCGCAAAAAGATGCGCAGCTATCGTTAATATATTCTTGAAATGCTTTAAAACTTGTATCGAAGCTAAAAAATGTTGCCATTTTGAATGTTAATTATTATTTTTTGGTCTTTAATAAGACAAAATTAATACTCTAGAGTTTGTATTTTTGTAATTACACATTACCTATTAATAATTTTAATTTTCAATAAATATAATATTTTGTGACCAAACTTTTTTTGTAACTCTGTAGGTACGAATGTTATGAAAAAAGGATTTATTTATCGCATTAAAATCTATTTTCTATTTTCAGATATTGTATTGCAAGCGTACAGCACAAGAAGTTTATGAATGTTTAACTAAAAGTCCAAATAGTCCTTCGTTTATCATGTTTCGTGATGCTTCGGTTGGACCACCATGCTATCAGATATCGTTAAGAGACTGTTTAAGTGCTATATACAAGTGCCATCGACTTGGTTTCTTTAATTTTGAAGATTTCTGTGTTAAAGAATATGAACACTTTGAAAGAGTTGAAAATGGAGATTTAAATTGGATAGTTCCTGGAAAGTTCATTGCTTTCTGTGGTCCACATGCGAGATCTAAAATGGAAGATGGTGCGTACCTTCCATTTTAATTGTATTGTGACGATGTAGAATTATGTGCATGAAAAAGAATGCAATAATGAGAAGGAATCTGATGAGTAAACAGATCCATGGAATGAATGTTTGCGAGCGCAAAAGCAAGGGGACACAAGTATGAGCAAAATTTGAAGATGAATGTGTGACGATAAACAAAAGAATAAAAATTTTTTTTTTTTAAGGAATATATATAGCAAAGATCTATCTATACATTTAATTTTTGGTCTTTATCACTTAAATCATCTAGCTTGATAATAACTATATGTAATGATAGTTATATGACTATGTAAGATAATTCATTCAAGAATTATGTATCTTTTCCATAGGTTATCCACTTCATGGCCCAGAATGGTATTTTACATATTTTCGCCGTAATAATGTAACAACAATTATACGGCTTAATAAGAAGGTTTACGATGCAGCGAGCTTCACCGATGCCGGTTTCATTCATAAAGATCTATTCTTTATGGACGGCTCAACGCCGACGGACGCAATAATGCATCAGTTTCTCAAAATAGCGGAAAACGCAAGTGGCGCGGTTGCTGTACATTGTAAAGCGGGTCTCGGTAGAACGGGTTCTCTCATAGGTTGCTACATTATGAAGCATTATCATTTAACGGCTCACGAAACAATCGCCTGGATAAGGATATGTAGGCCAGGTTCTGTAATTGGGCATCAGCAACAATGGCTGGAGAGGTGGGTGTGTATATATTTAAATGTATGTGTACACATTCATCATTTTCTTTTTATTTTTATTATACTGTATCTGTTTTAAAAATTATATTATACTGTAATAGAAAAAAAAATATGATGATACTTTTGCGTCTTTTAGAAAAGAAATGTATCTTCGATCGTTATTGAAAGAGCCATTGCAATCTGAAAATGGAAATCCGGTGCATGCATATGGGATATAT